AAAGAATTCAGATATTGTGGAAACACAATCAGGATAACACAAGATTTAGCAGCTTATACATTAAGGGATCTGAGGGCTTGGAATATAATATTGTGGAGGTCAAAGGAGATAGGATTACAGCCAAGAATCACCTACCCAGCAAAACTGAGTATTATCCTTCAGGGGAAAAAATGGTCATTCAGTGAAATGGAGGACTTTCAAGCATTCTTGATGAAAAGACCAGAGCTGAATAGAAAATTTGACTTTCTTATACAAGACTCAAGAGAGGCAAAAAGGTAAACAGGAAAGAGAAATCATAAAGGACTTATTAAAGTTGAATTATTTACACTCCTACATGGAAAGGTGATATTTATAACTCATGAAACCTTTCTCAGTGTTAGGGTAGTTGAAGGAAATATATATAGACAGAGGGCACAAAGTGAGTTGAATATGAAGGGAATGATATCTAAAAAATAAAATTAAGGGGTGAAAGAGAGGATTGTACTGGGAGAAGGAGAAAGGGAGAGGTAGAATGGGGTAAATTATCTCACACAAAAGAGGGAAGAAAAAGCTTTTATTGTGGAGGGGAAGAAGGAGTTGAGAGGTATGAATGAATCTTACTGTCATTGGATTTGGCTTAAGGAGGGAATAACATACACACTCATTGGGGTATGGAATTCTATCTTACCCTACAGGAAAATAGGGGGGAAGGAGATAAGAGAGGGAAGATGATAGAAAGGAGGGCAGATTGAAGGAGGGGATAATCAGAAGCAAACACTTTTGAGGAGGGACAGGATCAAAGGAGAGAATGGAATAAATGGGAGGTGGGGTAGGATGAAGGGCTATTCTGGAAGTGTTTTGCATGACTCCATATGTACAACCTGTATCAAGTTGCTTGCCTTCTGAATGAGGGTGGGCGGGCAGGGAGGAAGGGAGAGAATTTGGAGCCCAAAGTTCTAAAAACAAATGTTAAAAATTGTTTTTACTTGCAACTGGGAAACAAGATGTATAGGTAATGGGGTATAGAAATCTATCCTGCCCTACAGGAAAATAGAAAGGGAAGGGGATAAGAGAAGGGGGAGGTGATAGAAGGGAGGGCAGATTAGGGAAGGAAGTATTCATAATGCATGCCATTTTGGGGTGGGAAAAAGGGGAGAAATGGGGAGAAAATTTGGAACTCAAAATCTTGTGGAAGTGAATGTTGAAAACTAAAAATAAATTAATTTAAAAAAAAGTCTGATATCTCCTTTCCCCTCAGTATCTTCCTTTACCCAGCTATCCCAGGGCCTGAATTCCCACCTTTTAATCACACTTTGTTGTTTATGAGTTACAGGCCTCTATTAACATGTAGATGTTAGGGGCAGACACAGAGCAATTCTGAACCATGAACATCTTTAGTGAAGTGGTATATAAGATAATCTATTCCCCTTACAAGTCTCCAAGGGTAGGGAAGTTTGGATTGGACCTTAAAAATCAAAGAATTTATAGTTGTAAGGGACCTTAGAAAGCAATTAGTATGACTTCATTTTACAGAAAAGGAAACTGAGGCCTAGAAAATTAAGTAATTTGTCCAAGGTCATCGAATAACTGAGCCAGTTTGAATTCATGCATCCTGACTCTAAATCCATTTTAGCCTAAACAATATATCAGGTAATTTTTTTTTTTTACAATTTCATGTTTGGTTTTTCCTCCCAAGGTTAATTTTAAGTAAATTGTATTTTATAGAGAGACAAGAGAGACTATTTAGTTCAATTCCCTCATTTTATTGAAGAAGAAAGTATGGGCCAGAAAATAAAGTGACTCGTGTCCGGGAGGTAATGTCTAGGAAGGGGAGGTCAGGATGGAATGCCACATGGTGTGGTCAGAGCAACAACTGTCTAAGCACCTGGGATGTCAAAATTAGACTTCCTAATTTCCCTTCATACTGGTCCAGGTCCAAAGACAGTTTCAGCTTGCAGGACACAACTTTAGCCTTGACCCACAAGGCTGCCCAGCCATTGCATGATTATGTACAGATTACCCTCTGCTGGTCACAGTATGAAGTCACATTGACAAAGCCATCTTAACAAATGCTGATTAATCAAATATATAGGGAACTGAGCTGAATTTTTAAAAATAAGAGCCATTTTCCAATTGATAAATTGTCAAAGGATATGAACAGGTAGTTAATTTCTTGCTTTTTTTTGCAACATGGCTAATATGGATATATGTTTTGAATGACTTCACATGTATGATTGATATTATATTGCTTCTCTTCTCAAAGAGTAGGGGAGGGGATGGAGGGAAAGAATTGGGAATTCAAAATTTTTAAAAAAGGAATGTTAAAATTTAAAGAAGGTATAATTTTTTTAAAAAAAACTCACTGATTAAAGGCTATTTGTGGAAGACACTGGATTCTCTCTTGATTAATAGTATTAGCTTGTATTTTGACAGATTTTTTTTTTTCTGGTCCTGTGATTTAATTTACCCAGGGGAACTTCCTCTAACATTGTAGGTCAGCACCTTCTCAATAAACTCCAGTGGCTCCCTATTACCTCTAAAATTAAATATAAAATGCCCTGTTTGGCATTCAAAGTCTTTCATAATCTAAGCCCCCTCCTACCTTTCCAGGCTTCTCAGACCTTACCCTATGACACATACTCTTCAATCCAATGACAATGACCTCCTCTTCCTCTTTGATTAGTGACCTCCCTGATGCTGTTTAAGTCCTTTCTAACGTGACCTCTTTTAAAGGAAGTCTGCCCTAAATTTTCTTCATTCCAGTGCCTTCCTTTGGTATTTAACTATATGTAGCTTATGTGGTATATACTTATTTGCATGCTGTCTCCTCCATTGGATTGTGAGCTTCTTGAGTCAGGGACTGTCTTTTGCCTCTTTTTGTATCCTCAGTGCTTATCACAGTGCCTGGCACGTAGTAGGCACTTAATAAATGTTGATTGATTGATTGAGCCCTGCAATTTTTATTTTTTAAAGAATTCTCAAGTATACTGAGACTTTGTCCAGGGACACATGGCCATTATGTGTCAGAGGCAGAACTCAAACCCAGGTCTTCCTGTTTCCTGGACCAGCTTAATAGCAATTACTATTTGTCTTAAAACATGCACTCTGTATTCTGCTGCTTTGGGTTACTTCACTCTGCATGAGTTTGTACTAGTGTTAAAAGTTTCTCTGAATTTCCATATTTGTCATTTCTAACAGAACAATATTCCACTAGAATCATATGTTTATTCAATCACTAGACTATTGATTCTTCCAATCAACAGACACCTGCTGACCTTCTGGTTGTTTACTGCTACTAAAAATGTTGCTATAAATATTAAAAAAAAACCAAACAAACTAATCTTTACCCCTAGGCCTTTGACCTCCATCAGGTACACTAGCCATATTTACCTATCTTCTTCGCAAAAAGTAGGTGCTTAATAAATACTTATTCTCTATGGCCCTTAGCTGAGGATTGTTGTATTAATGGAGCAGAATGAGACATACACATAGAGACACAGCTAAATTGTTGATTTATTTTTCTTTGCTGTATTTTTTTGTTACAAAGGAAAGTGGATATGTGGAGGTGAGTCTTTGGGATGTGACATATTCTTGATTTCAAAGAAATTGGACTACTCCCTGTTCCCCCATCCCATGCTGCTCTGTCCTGCCTCCATGCATTTGTATAGGCCATCTCCCAAAGTTTCAGAGGAGCTGCTCCCCCATCTCTTCCTTTTGACATCTTTGTCTGTCTTCAACTGGATTATTAACATCAGCCTCCTAATTGGGATTCCTCTCTTCAGTGTCTCCCTTCATCAATCTATACACTCCCTACAGCTGCCATATTGATATTCCTAAAGCATAAGTCTGACCATGTCACGGCCCTGTCTTCCTATTGCCTTTAGGATAAAATCCAAACACTTCTGTTGGACATTTAAAGCCTTTCACAGTCTGGCTCCCTCCTTCTTTCTGCACTGATTTCATTTAACTGCCCTTCACATAGTCTGTGTTTCTGCTAAACTGGATTACTTGCTGTTCTCTGTATCTGACTGATCATCTCCCATCACTGTGCCTTTGCAGAGGAGGTCCACATGTTGGAATGTTCTCTCTCTTTATAACCACCTTTTAGAATCCCTACCTTGCTCCATGTAAGGTACCACCTCCTACCTCAGGCCTTTGTTGATTCCTCCCCACCACTGACTTGCTGACTGTCTGTCTATCCCCTGCTAGGCCTATTCTTCAGCCTGAATTACTTTTTGGATCTGCACAGTACAGGAATCCCCCCTACCAACAATGCTCTCTCTCTAGTTCTTCCTTTCAGAATCCTTATCCTCTTTCACAGCCCTGGTTAGAGTCACCTCTTCAGGCTGAAGAAAGCCTGTTGTCTGGCTTGAAGTATTCTGTTAGATGGAGAGCCTATAGGGCTGATCTGTGAGCATGTAGGTTTGTGGATTTGAATGGGATGGAGGCAGGAGGCTATGTGTGAGGCTTTATTAGGGGCAATTAGGAATCTCACAGGGAAGGAGAAATCTCTGGTTGACATTTGGACCCTCTGCTTTTTGAGAATAGAGGCCTGAGCATTTTGGAAAGAATCAGAGGAGCATGGAGAGGTCAGTTTAAGCAACCCTAACTTTATTGCAAAGTTCCTTGAGTAACTGGAATGGGAATCCAATGGGCCAGCTGACTGAACCATCCACCCACCTGCAGGCCCTCCAGGACTTTGTAAGTCAGACAGAGATGGGGAAAATATTTATTTCTTCACATCTCTTGATTTGTCTAATCTTCCCGCCCTCCTCCTCCATCTTTTCCTCATACTTCCCCTCTTTCTCCAATACATCCTTTTGGTCAACTCCAGGGCTTCATGAGGAAATTAAAGGAGGGGACTCCCAGCCCTGGGGACAAGAGGTGAGCAATGACAAAAGAATGGGGGAAACCACAGACCTCAGGGAACTGTTGGAACCCAATGGCTGCAGGGATCCATTGCCCTTGTGTAAGGCTAGGGAGGAGCCAGTGAATAAAGGATAGCTCCTTTCTGCCCACAGCATTGAGGGCCAAGAGGATGAGGCTGCAGAGGGGCTGGACCATGCAGGTAACCCTGTTGCTGCTGGGGCTGCTCAGCCTGAAGAATCCACTTGCCTATGCCCAGGACCAGAGGTACCAGGATTGGGTGAATGAATTCATTCAGGAATACAACGCGAAGTCAGGATCAGAAAACCTGTTTCGTCTCTCAATCCTGAATCTGCAGTCTGGGGAAGTGAGTAGCATTAGGATGGCAGGGGCGGGTTCCACCTGCCAAGATTTCCTAATATGAACCTTTCGCTCCAGAAAACCTTGGTCTCATTACTGGGAGATATTGTGATATAGTGGAAAGAGAGGGACAACTAGTTCGCAGAGTGGATAGAGCAGTGACCCTGGAAGTCAGGGAGATCGAAGTTCAAATGCACTCTCAGGCACTTACTAACTGGGTGACTGGGCAAGTCATTTAACCTCTATTTGCCTCAGTTTCCTTTACTGTGATGTGGGGATAATAATAGTACCCCCTTCTTAGAGTTGTTGGGAGGATTAAATGAAATAATAATTATAAAGCACATAAGACAGTGCCTGGCATATAGAAATACTCTGTATGTGTTTGCTATTGTTATTATTATTATTATTATTATTGGAGTCACAACACCTGAGTTCTCATTCCAGTTCTGACATGTTTTTCTGACTCTGAGCAAGGTATCCTCCCTCTCTGAGTTTCAGTTTTCTCATCTGTAAAATGGGGATGATAATCCATGCCTGGCCTGTCTCATAATGTCCTTGTGAGGACTCCCCTGCCTTGAATTCCCTTCCCCTTCCCCCTCACTTTCCAATCCTGCTCCCACCTCAGAGGAGAGCTCAAGCTCCCATCAGTGACCCCAGGCCAGAGGGAGCTCTCTTTCTCTCTTCACGTACCCTACAACCCTGCACAGCATCATAGGCTGTCAAGCTGGAAAGGACTTTAGATGTCACTGAGTTAAACACCCTCAGTTTACAAAGTAGGAAAACGTGGTCCAGAGAAAGGAACAGTAAATAGTAGTAAGCAACAGAACTGTGAATGAGGGAATGAACAAATGAAAGAGTGAACGAACGAAAAGGCATTTCTGAATCCAGGGCTTTCCTTCTTTTAATTATTTCCTATTTATCCTGCACATAGCTTGCTTTGTATATGTTTGTTTGCATGATGTCTCCCTCCCATTAGATTTTAAGCTCCTTGAGGGCAGGGGATGTCTTGTGCCTCTTTTTGGATCCCTAGTGCTTAGCATGGTGCCTGGCACATAGTGGGTGCTCAATAATTGCTTCTTGACTGATTGAATCCCTTGCTATGTCACAGGAACAATACTAACCAATATGCTATAAATAAAATCCAGGTCTTCAGACTCCAAATCCAGGATTCTTGTCACTACTGGAACTCTTTTTTGACCCTGAGCTGGTTTAAACTCACAATGTTTTTTTTTCCTGTGTTTTTTTTCTCTCCCAACTAGCCTGAGGACAAGGAATGTGGAAGCTGAGCACAGGGGGACATGAAAATACATTCAGTAGACACTGTTTGGATGAGTGACTTCTGGATGCCCCCAGTTCTGATGCTGCAGCCAAATCTGACCTTGGGCAAATCACCTAACTTTCCTTGTTCCTAGTTCCCTCATCTAGAAATCAATGGGGTCAGACTAGATGGTGTCTAAGGTCCATTCCAGCACTAAATAGCTTGTTCCTGCCCACAGGGGCTCAGATATGGCCTCAATCTATTTTTTTTTTTTTTGGTGAGGCAATTGGGGTTAAGTGACTTGCCCAGAGTGGCCTAGGTCTAAAAGGCTGTCCTGCCTTCCTCCCCAGAACAAGGATCCTGCTGCTCCTCGACTTCTGAGCTTCACCATGAGAGAGACCGTGTGCCCCAATACTGAAAATCCCAATCCAGATGAATGTGACTTCAAGGAAAACGGGGTGAGAGTGTCGTGGGCTGGGGAGGGAGACTGACTGAATGGGTCTCTTTCTGAGGACCTTGGAGCAGGGAGGGTGCTGAGCTCTGCTTCCTGCTGCCCTGAGCAAAGTGATTCACCCAAGATGAGCAGCAGAAAACCCTCCCAGTGGGCTGGCTTGGGGCAAAGCTTGAGCTTGTTGTCAGTCCTGGCATGTCAGGGGCAGAGGTTGCAGACTGGCAGTCCTGAACTCTCTCTGCAACCCTTCACAGCTGGTGAAAGAATGCATTGGAGCCATTGCTTTGGATTCTCCTAAGCCCTCTGCTGATATTTCCTGTGATGGGGTAAGTGCTGAATCCTCAGAGGGGGCTGGGAGAAGAGCCCAAACCTGCAGACTCCACCAGGGGTCTATGGTGCCTTCTGTCTTGGGGGCTGCTGGGATTGATGTGCAGCTGGAGGGACTTGGGACCAACATTGACCATGCTGCCCTTTCCAACCTTAGCCTCAACTTAGCCTCCCTTTTCTTCTTCCAGGTTCAAGGAAGGGATATAGATATGGAGGCAGGAGTAATCCTCTCCCTCATCCACCTCACCCAACCCCAACTCTGGAGCTAGAGAGGTCTCTGGCCTCAGAGACCTAGGGAAAGAGGGAAACAGAGAAGGATAATGGGAGAGGAAGGGCCTAGACCTGTATTTCCAAAGAATCAGTCTCATGATTTTGAACTGGAGGGAATCCTAGAAATTATCTAGCCCAACTCCTCCTCTCCCAATTTACAGAGAAGGAAACTGAGGTTCAGAGATGTGAAGTGACATTGCCAAAGTCATAGAGCTAACTAATGTCCGTGTTAAAACTGGTCCTCTGACTCATTCCAACTATCCTGTTAACCCCAAGAGCTCAGTGATGAGATGGGTTAGGGGAACTAGGGTGGGGTGGGCTGGAGGCACAGCCAGTGTTCCTGGCAAACCACTCTGAAGAGAGGGTTGTGAGTTCAGGTGTGGTCATGCCAGGGGCATAGTCAATGAGACCTGGTTCCAAGGTGCTCCTGGAGCTTAGAAGGTTTTAAGGGGTGGAGTAAGGATTTCTCATTGTCCTCTACATCTTCTGGGCACAGAAACAGGAGGAGGGTGTCCTGGGAAGACTTTTCATCATTTTGAAAATGAACATGAAGAAGCCCTCGAGGCTTTAGCTTTCTGTGCTGGGCAGAGCACTGGGTTTAAAGTTGCAAGGCTAAAGATTTGGGGTTGAGTCCTGGGTCTGTCAGTTGCCAGCTCACCACCATCTGTCTCAAGTTCCCTCCTTTCTAATGGAGAGGTTGTACCAGATACTGTGGAGGGCCCTCCAAGTTCTGAGTCTCATGAAGCTCTAAGTTACTCCATTCCCCAGTGGGCAGGTTTTTCTTCCCTCCTCAGCCTGACCCCCAGAGGCCCTGGACTAAGAATGTCTCTTTCTCTCCCTCTGCAGCCTGAAAAGATCAAGAGACGTGGATTTTTCCATAAGGTCGGGAAACGATTGAAGAAACTGGGGGAGAGCCTTAAAAAAAGATTAAAAAACCTTTCATTTCATATCCCACTGGGCTTTTCAATTCCTTTCTGAGGCTGAACCTCAGTTTCTGTTTAAGGCCCTGCACTCTGCCTTTGTCTCCTCAGATTAATAAACTTTAATTTTACCCTCTCTGCCTCCATGTTTTCTCAGAGTTCCTCCTCCATTCAGCTCATTTCTGGCTGAACATTTAAGTACTTATCAGGTACTCTTAGACTTTACATAAAAAGATAGAAACAACCACCCGCAGTCTCTCCCCTTAAGGAGTTTATAATCTAGGAGGGGTGGGAGAGGGAGCTGACATGTAAGCACACAATGTACCATAAGGCTGTTGTGTTGGAAGCAGGATACATCTAGACAAAGTGGTCTAGGAAAACAGACAGGGAGAGAGATCACTTTCTAGTTAGGTCTGGGGTAGGGGTGGGGGGGAAGGCAGCTTCCTGGAAGAGGTGGTGTCTGAGCTGGGCCTTGGAGGAAGAGAAGGCTTTCAACAGGCAGAGAGGAGAAGGGGTACATTCCAGGCACAGGGAACTCTCTTTGGGCAGGTCAAGATAAGGCTATGGAACAGCTAGAAATCTAGTCTGCCAGCAAAATATTTAGAGCATTAAGGGGTGCAGTTTGTAAAGTGTTGTAGGTAGGAAGGGGCCAAGAGGGTCTTAAATAGCAGGCCTTCCCCAGGAGTTTGTAATTTATCCTATAGACAACAGGGTGTCCCTGAAGGTTTTTTGTTTGTTTCAGTAGGGGAGTGACAAGATCATATCTTTTCATTAGAAAGATAATTTCATTAGGAAGCTGTGTCTAGGATGGAGTGCAGAAGGGAGGGATTACACACAGGGGTAGCAGTCAGGAGGCTATGGCAATAGGTGAAAGATGATGAGGGTTCTAGGCTGGTGGTTATAGGAATGGAAAACAGGGTTTGGATGGGAAAGATGAAGTGGACAGGCTAGGATGCAGATTTGACTAGATTTGGCAACTGACTGGATGAGGCTCATGGTGGAGAAGGCAGAGTGAAAGCTGACTCCATCACCCTGGGAATGAGCTCCCTATTTAGACCCAGTTCACTTTAGAGAACCCAGTCCAGTGATTCTTGTGAGCAAGCCATCAGTATTGTATATAGGTAGATGGGAAAGGAAGACTTGTGCCTTTGAATAAGAGATAATTTTATCAAGAAGTGAAATCAGACCCCATCTCTTATCATGCCACTAAAGTAATACTGCAGTAGGACCTGGAGCCTCTCAGACTGTCATGGGTCCACACACAGTTTAAGTTGGCAAAACCCTCTTGCCCTCACAGCTAATGACTTAGAGAGTCCTCTCCCTACTCCCAACTTAAAAATAGGCACACAGTCAGCAAAACATCCAAGTTTTCCCACATTCCCTCATCCTCACCTCTACAGAGAGTCAACTCAAATGCCAAAGAGTCTCAACATCTACTGCCTTTTCTTCAGCAGCATCAAGGCATTGAATACCTGTGAATGTTTTACCAGTTGTAGCCTGGTAAAAGAGCCCAGACACAGCTGTAACTAGGATAGAGTGGTGGGGGTTTTGTCTAGGGAATGGAGTTCTGGGGTCATGATTAGTGCCTGTGGCAGTCCTCCAACTTGCGCCCCCCAAGCTAGGCCCAGGCTGCCACTTACCCTCCCAAGGGTCCCTCTGTTCTAGGACCCTTCTCCCTGGGCTTATACTCCCAGAGCACCCCTGTCTACAAGTTATCCCCTCCCCCACCCCATTACCACATCATCCCAGGGATTGGTGGTCTGGGTACCAAAATCTATTCTTTCACAGCATGGTGCACAGCTGTACCTGGGTTAGATTATCTTTTAATCTCAATTCCACCCACTCCCAACTAAATTTGTCTTGGGTTTAAGATTCCTACTTTTGATTTAGATCCTTTCACAGCCTCTAAGGCATAGTGACTTTGCCTTTCAACAAGGCAGTGCCCAGATTCTATCACACACATTAAAAATGACTGGAAGATAATCTTTCTGAAATTTCTCATGCTCTGACTTAACCTATGTTAAGTATATTGATTCATCTCTGTAATTTTTAATTTTAAAGAATTCCCACGGTCAGTGAGTGACTTGTCCAGGGTCACACAGCCAGTCTGTGTCAGAGGCAGGACTTGAACCCAGGTCTTTCTGCCCTCTGGGCCAACTTGAGATCACTTAATGTTTTTCTTATAATCTCTAAATGAAATTAACATACTCTGCATTGGGTTGGGGGGGGCTTGGGCTAGGTGGTACAGTGGATAGAGAGCCAGGCCTGGATTCAGGAAGATCTGATTTCAAATCAGGCCTCAGATACTAGCTGTGTGACCCAGGGCAAGTCACTTAACTCTGTGTCTCAGTTTGCTCATTTGTAAAATGAGTTGGAGAAAGAAATGGCAAACCACTCCAGGATCTTTGACAAGAGTAACCCTAATGGCATCATGAAGAGTCAGACAGCAATGAAATGACTGAATAATAACAATCCTGCATTCTAGCCAAAATGAACTAGTCATCCATTTCCCCAAACTGAATTCTGTCTTCCACCTCTCTAGGACTGCATAGGCCATCCCCATGCCTGGAATGCACTCCCTCTTCAGCTCTTCCTCTCAGAATCCTTATCTTCTCTCAAAGTCCAACTTAACTACCACTACTTCTGTAAGCCTTTCCCTAATGCCCTGTTAATGCTTCCACTATCTCTTCAGATGCCTTCATGTTTCATGTTGGAAATGTCTGATTGAATACAATGGTGCTCTAACACAATCTGGTAACATGATTACCCTGGCCCTACTCTGGGGCCAAATCGGTTACATTTCACACCACCCCTTCTCCAGTACCCTGGAGTCTCTCTTCTGTGCCATCTTCTCTGGTTTCTCCTGATTATTAGGGATCCAGGGACTAGCACCCCAATTTGATTTAACCACTTCACATCTCAATTAACTATTACACAGGGATATTTACTTCAAAGATATAGCAAAAAGACACATGCAAACATTCCACTCAATACTTTGGAGTCATAATCTCTAGGCATACACCACCTCTGTTGCTGGAGAGGGAAATGAAGTTCACAGTTGAGCTTAGTTCCTGTGTAACATGAATCCTAGCAAGTTCAAGTCTAAAGCTTTGCTGGGATAGAATTCCCAGTTCGTTGCTCCCCAGGGTTTCTCTGCTGAGTTGGTTGTAACACCCAGCCTGGATTCCCCAATGCCCATGTCTTGCCCAGTATTCAAGTTGGGGAATTCACTCCTTGCATCTAGAATGGAAAGGGATAAAGGAAAAAGCCAAAGTCTCTGGACCATTTCTTGGGGTCACATGACCTAAGGGGGAATGGAAAAGGAGGTAGGCCTCAGTCTCAGGTGCGAACACAGAAAAATCCCCAATTATGGTCAATTTGGTAAGATTAAAAACCCAGAAAAGTTCCCACTAAATAGTCCATGGAGAAAGTCTTCTCCCCACCTCTTGGTAGGCCAATGCAGAATGTCCATGCATGAGCCAATTCTCCTGTCTTTCAGAAGAATGTTACACAAGGGAGATGATGCCATCTTAGGTGGTCTAGATGTGTGCCAAAATCCCCATTAAACAGTGTCTCCACAGGGAATGCCAGTTCAGGAGCATTTTTGGGTTGGTTTCTGAGCCAAGATGCTCCAGAATGGTTTGACTCATGTTGTGACAAAAGACAAGAGGGCAGTACATGGAATTTAGGGCATACAGAATGGTGGTGGAGACCATACCACAGCATTGCCTGCCCCCTTGTAGTTTGTGGACCTTAGATTGTGAGAAATAGGCAGAACTACATGGGAGCTTGCTTTCAGGTGGTCCCTGGAGGACTGCAGGAATAGATGACAACGTAGTACAGAGGGGGATGTTCAGATGATGATGGCCAGGCTGGCTGGAGCACTGGGTGTTCTCTAGAGGTGCTCCTTGGAGGTCTTTAAGCAAAGGCCGCATGGCCCTTGTAGGGGATGAGATGAAAGGAATTCCTGTTCAGGTATTGGTTGGATTAACTGGGCTCTGAGTTCCTTCCAACTCTTAGATCATGATTCCATGAATTCAATTTAAGAAACATTTATGGAAAACATATTCTGGAAAACCCACTGTGCTAGTCATTGTGTGTAGAAAGCAAAAATGAAACAGTTAGCAAACTATTCAGGAACTTCTTCGAGGAGTGATGTTTTCCCAGGAGAAGAGAACATGTGCATAAACAAATAGAGGTAACAGAGGCACTCCTAGAACCAACCATTATTTATGGTCTCTAGCTTAGTGGATAAAGAGTATGTTCCCTACCTTGCTTGTAAATTTGGATTAAATTGATAAGACTTCAGACACATATATTCTCTCATTCCTCTTCTTCCCTCATGGAACATAGCTTTTATTAGTTTTCAAATGAAATGTAGGTATAATTTCTTTTTATATCATCTATATTTCACAATTCATTCCTCTATTCCCTCCTTCTTCCATAGAGCCAACCTTTCTAAAATGAAAATTAAAAAAGGGGAAAAACTTCAACAAAACCCACCCATTTATTGAAAAAAAAAACCAACTGATATTATATACAGCATGTCACAGCCATTGTCCTTCACTTCTCCAAAGAAGTCTGAGGTGGGGGGGGGAGAGATTGGCACCCATAGTCTTGTCAGTCTTTGCTAGATGTCTTCCATCCCTGTTGATCCTATGTTTTCAGCTGTGGTCCTGAAATCCAGATTCCATTCTCAAACACCATCTTCTGAATAAGCTGAATTGACCTGAATTAAATTGAGTCCTGTGAGGTAGGTAATGTTAGTATGATTCTCCCCATTTTATAGAGAAGAAACAGACTGTTGAAACTTTTGTCATTTTTCCAAGTTGACAAATCTAGTAAGTTTGTTGTGGCAGGATAGATGAAGGAAAATCTAGAGGCCAAGTTGCTCTTTAGTTCCAAGCCCAGACAGTATGCCACAGGGCCCTGCTGGTAGTAGAACAGGGCACTGGGCAAGGTAATGAAAGAGGGATGGATGGTATCAAGGATGACATAACAATATGTTGCTTTTCTCTTCCAGATTTCCATTCCAACTGAGATCGGCAACCCTTATGAAATGCTTTAGCCACCCTCCCGAGCCTTCAAACCCCCTTGCAATTACCTCAAGCAACGTGACTTTGACTTAACCAATAGGC